CATTTTAGCACTGAAGATGCTACCTAGCCAGGTAATGAAACGTTTGCAAGAAAAGAACCAAGCTCAGAGAACCGCAGGGACTCCACAACACAAGTGACTTTCCAGGAACACATAATGCTCTTTGGGCAGAAGTCCAACTTTGATGAATACAGCATCTTTCATAAATAGGCAAGTGCTAAATTTTTGGGAGGATAATTACAAAAACAAGAAGATATTTACATTTTAATTTCCCTCTAAGAACATTTTTCCCCATGATAAGAAAGTTTAACCAGCAAGAAGCTATCAAGAAGAAGACCAAAGTGTGTTAACTGATGTACTTTTCAATGTATTACGTCTCCAACATAAGATCAACAACTGAGTCCAGTAAACCCAAGGAAGAATTTGAATGTGTTGACCTTGTTTCAAGTTCATAAATACTATTCTTAATAAATACATTTAACATTTCTTAAAAGTTGAGACCAATGAATTTATAATATAGGAACATCCAGTTCTCTGTTCCAAATTTCTTTTATACTGTTAATATTTATTTTTTTCATTGTAGATAAAATGGAATTGTTGGTTTAGTCTCTAAAAAACCTTTAACTGGGACATTCAATTGTATAGAGTTTTCCAAAGCAGCTGATCCATCCTGTCGAAAGAATGAGTGTGACAAATACTTTAGATGTATATATTGCATTTTTGATATACTCTTCTTGTAATCTTTCAAAAGTCTTGAAAGTTCGATGGGAATCCATTTTTTTTAACATGTTCCAGAAATTTAATTTGTATTGTATCAAAGGATTTTTCCTGTAGCTAATGAGGCCACTATGTCCGTTACATATTTTTCATACTGTATTGTTTATACCATCTGCCAATAATCTGATATTATCTGAAGCTTCACAAAGCCAGCATTTGTAGGATGAATTATTGACAGTAATACCTTCAGAATTTTTTTGTGCCAAAGTTGCAATCAAAATATCTTTATCTACATTTAATAAATCCTAAATGTTCCCAATTTCCATCACCAGAAATGAAGAAAATGCTATCCCATTTTTCTCTTGCATCTAACTGAATAAAATTTGCAAGAACAGAAGCTCATTAGGAGATTAAACAAAATGAATGTGAAACAAATAAGGACAAGATCCATTGTTACGTGTAATGTGAACTTTTAATGGAATGGCCAGTAAGTTCTGATCCAGTCTGCTTTGGAAAGAATCCTGCTTCCAAATGTGTCCAAATTCCAAATTCAGGATTCAAAACTCATCTGAAGCCTATTAACTGTGGCCTGAGTAGGCTAGATTATTTTAGAGACCAATTGCTGCTGTTTCAAGTTGCATTATACTCTATCAAGACAGATGAGATCAGAATCTTCACTATTCTAAGAATGCATCAGAGTCCAGAGTCATTGGGAATTGGGGCATATAGATTATTATAATTATAATTATATCATTTTGTATTGAATTTGCTCAGGTATTAAAACGTTGCCTGGTTGTAGAGGGCTGTTTGTCAAATACATGGAACAAGATTTTTTTCTGTGTCTGTTTCAAACTGGGGAATTCAATCATATTGGAGGTTTCAGATAGCATTAATCATCATCTCTTTTAACCTTAATAGCTGGACGCTTGAAAGGGGTGGATGGGAAATAATACATATATATAATATAATGCTTTGCCAAGAATCAATTTCATAGATTTCAAGATTCCAAGATTTGTCATATAGCCAGAGCATTATAATTCGGCTCTGATGCAGGTCCCTTGGTGGTTATTAGAATCAACGTTATACATTGTGCCTGGGATGGGAACTACTAAGGGAATACCCAGGATTTCTTCAGTAGAATTAAGTTCTGCTGCAAAGTCCCAAAGACAGTATGAGAAAATTGCTGACCATGTTAATAAGAACACCTAGAGTTACCTGGAGGTGAAATATATCTGAGCTGCCTCCTGACACTTGAAGCATTGTGCAACTGGTTTCACGTGGAAGTAATCCACCACAACCAAAACTAAGCTCTGAAGGAAGAGAATGCTTTAAAGTGCTGAAGGTGTGATTGAGCTTTGTGTAAGAGGGTAAGTTTAACAGCGTCTCTCTCTTAATAGGACATTTTCAAAATTGCTCTGTGCGGCTCTGCATTACTGACTGAAATTCTTCACTTATCCCTCTGATTCTAACAATAGCTGTTGACAGGCAGTTATGCCAGGTCCTGCGTTCTGGGAAAACAGGATGCTGTTTTCCTTCAGACATCCCTTTGGGGCCCTAAATTTGGATCACACAGACTCATAGCTGTAACTGCCTCCTTGCAGTACTTTCTACCTACTGATTTGTCCTCCGGTAATAATAATGAAGAAATGGTAATAGTCCAGCAGAATATGGATACTTCATGATATGAGTGACTTCTTCTGGCCTGGTGGCTGACCTGATTCCGATCTTTGGTCAGGTCGCAAACAAGGACCTCTGCTCTTAATAGCTTTAATAGCTTTATAGGCATATAGTAACAACATCCTCTTCCTGCAACAATCTGTTGACTTCAGGATGTATTTTATTCTAGTTCGGTTTTGTTTTGATTTAAACCCCAGTCTGTTTCCCACCGTGTGAGTGCTGAAGTCTCTTTCTCAATCTCCCTCTGTATATATGTATGTGATATAG